CAAGGGTCTTGAGTCTGTCTGTTATAACTTGGGGTGTTCTTATGCTCGCGTGAGTCTTGTGTGAATTATTCCGTGTCGGTTTGAAGAGAATGGCTAACTCAGAAGTAGTCATCTCGGCTTGCGCAATTTCGCTGGTTTGATGGTCATTCGCTTCCTCCTCGGTATTGCCGAGAGTGTTGTCACTCCCGGCTTCGTCCTCTACACCTCCATGTTCTACACCCGTCGCGAACAAGTGATGAGGACGATGCTCTGGGCCGCGATGCAGGGCGCATTTTCCATCATCTCTAGCCTGCTATCTTACGGGCTCGGCCACATAACCAACACAGCGTTGAAGCCGTGGATGTACATATTCTTAGTCCTCGGTCTCCTCAGTCTCATTGTGGGCTTTTCTTGGTTGTTATTTATGCCCGAGACACCTAATAAGGCTAAGTTCCTCTCTCATGAAGAACAGATCATCGCTGTTCAGAGAGTCGCGGAGAATATGATGGGAATTAAGGGTTATCAGTGGAAGAATTATCAAATGTGGCACGCAGTCAAGGATGTGAAAACTTGGCTGATACTTGCATTCGTCCTACTCACTCAACTACCAAATGGCGGATTAACAAGTTTCGGTTCTTTGGTAATATCAGGATTCGGGTTCGATTCGTTCAGGACATTATTGATCGGTCTCCCGTCGTCTGTCGTCAGCGCCGGAAGCATGGTCGTTTGGGGTTTCTTTTCCGTCAAATACGGAAACCTACGAACTTTGGGGATGATAATTCCGCTGTTACCTGCTATTGCAGGTATTGCTGCCGTTTATGGTACGATTGGCACCGGCGCCAATAAGTACGGTAGAGTTGTTGCCTACTGGCTTATTAACTCTTATGCTGTCACGGTGCGTGTTATCCCAATACATTCATGAGATGTTTCAATGCTAACTTATACAGTGGCCATTCTGCCTTACGATTGTCGGACAGAACATTGCGGGCCACACCAAGCGAGCGTTCACGAACACGCTTCTCTTCATTGTATTCGCCACCGGGAATATTGCGGGGCCGTTTTTCTTCCGCGATCAAGACGCACCGAGGTACGTGTTAGCCATCACGACCATTCTTGTTTTCTTCTGCGCAGCGCTCTGCTGTGCCATCACCCTTCGCTATTACATGGCGACACAGAACAGGATAAGAGATTGTCAATTTGGAGCGCTTGAGACAACTGAGAAGAGACTGGATGGCATGAGGTTGGGCATGCATGATAAGACAGATCTTGAGAATTCCGACTTCCGATACGTTTTATAGACGGCATTCGCCTGGTGAAATGAAAAGTTTATTCTACGGAATTATCCATTTAAAGGTGCCTCCGTATGATACCCGAGTAGCAAAGGGTTTGACGTCGTCATCATCAAGTACCTACGACTCGATCGACCCTATCACAACGATCTATCCATGCTATCACTCTTGAAGACAGCAACCTCCTTGGGACAGTACTTCATTCAAATTTCCCTCCAGTATATTTAACAATATGCTAGATTATACCCAGCTCTCTATAACGTGGTATCATCCTTCCCCCGAAACATAATCTAGATGACGTTCCTCTCAGTGACAAAGCATCGAGTAGTAGTGTAGCCGACAAGATGCCCCTCACTCCCGCATAAGGGGGTGAAAGTCATATAAGCGGATCGAACCGATCACTCTTAATATTGGAGGTCGCATTTCACCATATTTTTCTAAATAGAAAGGCAGAAGGTTTGGCACGATCAGGACGATCTAAGGAGGCAAAATGGCTAGTGGTATTTATACGTATAAGCCGGGTTCTAGTAGGGGCTATTGCTCCACATCGCAAACCAACTGGGTTGTGACAAAACTTGCGAAGAAAATATTGGACCCCCCTTCCCCATCTTATCTCTCTTATTGAGTGTTGATTAATATGATGCTGAACTGGTTCGAAGAGGATCCCGAAAGAAATATCGCTCCAAGATGTTTTGGGCCGAGTCTCTGCAACTACTGCAATGAGCTATTTTCTACCTTAGAATCACATCCCCCCGACCCGGTTACTTCATACAAGGCCTGGCCTTATGGATACGGCTACCACCCCACCGTATCCAGTCTATACAATGCAGTTCGATCCGGTTGTCAGCATTGCATTAGACTGGAATACCAACTACAACAAATATATGGCTATTCCGACGCAGAAGGACCATGCTCAAGTAAGGACCTGAACTCAGATTGGGTTGAGCCGGTGCTCCAATTTAAAGCCGATTGGGACACTCCCCACATCATTAAGATCTTCCTGGCTTCGAAGCAGAAAATACTCGCATGGGTCATAGGAGCTCCCGATAGCTATTTTGCTTATCCGGGAACTTCACGTAAGCCTCCTTTAATAAACAGAAATGGACAGTAAACAACATCGCTAATCTACCTAATTGTATACTAATAGGGCGAGAAAGAGTACGTACTGAATTGGCAGGATATCCCAACTTGAACTATACGCCCCCAGATTCAACGGATAGCCTGTCGCTATGGAAATTATGTCGCTCGTGGATGGAAAACTGTATCAAAAATCATGAAAAATGTAAAAGCCTGCACCACGGCGAGACGAGGTGGCCAACCAGGCTCCTGTACATCGGCAATCTTAGCGATGAGGATATCAGCAGTAGGGATCCCAATTCCCCGAGAATTGAGCTCCATTTGATGAAAGGCAAGCAGCCTGAGGGGTTTTACATGACACTCAGTCATTGCTGGGGCGACCCTGAGAAAATGCTCAAGCTTACAATGGAAGACTACGAGCACCGAAAAGAGAATGGCTTTTCACACGCGGAGCTCCCCAAAACATTCCAAGACGCCATCCGCCTATGCCGGTTTCTTCGTAGCGACTACCTATGGATTGATTCGTTATGCATCATTCAAGACTCCGAGGAAGACTGGATGCAAGAGAGCCAGAGTATGGCCAACGTTTATCTTTACTCGAGGTGCAACATCGCGGCGACGGCATCTCGAGCACCAACAGAGGGCTGCTTCTATCGCCGAGACCCTGCAGTAGTTTCCCCTCTAGAGATCAAGTTCAACGAAAGACATTCAGGGAAGATTCCATCTGTACGAAGATATCTTTTCTTGGATAACCGTATATGGAAGCGGAGTGTCGAGAATGCACCACTCAATAAGCGAGCATGGGTTATGCAGGAACGTGCATTGGCTACACGACAAATCCATTGTGGTCGAGACCAGATCTCATGGGAATGCAATCAGACTACCGCCTCCGAAACATTTCCTTTCATATTCGAGTTCGGCAACGAGTTTTACCAAGAGACCACCGGGGAGAGAGACGTGCCGCGGTACGGCAATTATGACCCAGCCATCACCACGCCATTGACCCCAAGTCTCAATCTGGGTTTCACATTGTCAGAAATGAGCAGGTTAAGATCTTCCACGATAATTCACGATAGGTTTCTGAGCAGCGCTGCCTGCTGTTCTGGCATAGACATGCCGAATTCTGACAACGCCTTGTCGCATCCCGTAGGAGCTGACCAAGAAGAGATGATCGCGCATCTAAGACATAAAATCTACCAGGACTGGACAAATATTGTCGACAGATATTCATCGTGTGCACTGTCTCACAGGACCGACAAGCTCGTCGCAATATTAGGAATTGCGTCTAGAATCCAAGATGTGCTGAAAGGTATGGACACTTACGTTGCGGGCCTATGGCGATCGCAGCTACCCTGGCAACTGCTTTGGACCGTACCGTACGGTGTGGAATATAAGTCTCACTCGTATGATATTGGTCCTTCTTGGAGCTGGGCCAGCCTTAACACAAGAGTTCAGTTTTATTGTCCAGAAAAGGACTGGGCACATACATACAAGATCGTGATCAACATTGCTGAGGTCCACGATGGGCATACGATCACAGAGCGAGGAACTGCCGATAGACTAAGTCCCTTAACACTACGATGCCTCGTATACAAAATTCACATCTCTCGAGAAGAAGCCTTCGTAGAATTAGGAGGCTCGAAGGGTTATATGGATAGGTCCATTCTGTCAGAATATCTGAGGAACAGTGGCTACTGCAATCGCATGGACCAGGTATATTTAGTCCCTGTCATGTACAATGAGGAAGGCTTCCAAGGCCTGGTTGTGAGTCCTTGTCAAGATCAAAGCCAAGGTCAAGAGAACCCGAGGTCGAGGTTTTATAGACGCCTGATGAGATGGGCTGATTCGTCCAAGATTGGATCAGAACCCAGCGTAAACTTTGCGATAATGTTGATCAAACACGTGGGTATGGCTACGGATATGGACAAAGAAACAATAACGCTTATCTAGCCATAGCCGAAATAGAATGGATGAGGGCATAACGTAGGGCCTAGGTAACAGACAGTGAAGGGGCCTCAAGGAGTCAAGATACAACAGGACTTTAAGGAGGGTTTCAAAGACTCCTTCTCCTTCCATCGGTAGAAGGAAAAAACAGCGTTTACTGACGTGAATGTATTACTTGCGCAACCTATTTCTTAAGCAAACTTGGGTACTTGGATATCAAATGAGTGTTCTTAGAGCTCTGTTTTCAGAAGGGGTCGTCCTCCTTGGGCGCACGGTGCCAAATAGGAGTCGCTCGACTAAATGGAACTAGGAATACTCATTTCCTCCAATCACCTTCTCATAAACGACTCGCTGATTAAATTATAACAACTGGTCGTTAGAGAGGTTTAAAGACTCGCCTGATATGAATGATTATAGACATAAATTGGTTGTTCGGATTATTATAAGAGTTATTTCTAGGTAATTAGTAAGATGAGTCCATGAATGAAGCTAGCTTATTTACGTTAATCATTTCAGGCTGTGTGTAGAAGTAGAATTGGAACAGTTGCGATTGTATTTTCCCTCGGCACTTGTTAAAAACAAAAATCATGTATTGATTGACCCAAACAAATAATTATCACCTCGACTAAAAGAATAATCTCGAGAACATCATAATCAAAGAAAGAAAAAAGAAATACTTGATCAATACTAATTGAAGCTTAAAAAATAACGTGCCCTCACACCGGATTGAACGATGGACCTCATCATGTCATATTTAGGATTAGTGATTGTTAGACCACGATTATACGAGTGATGCGCTCTACCACTGAGCTATAAGGGCTGGGTGATTTTATCGCTCACAATTGCCGTATATAACATGTGGCTGGATCAAGTGTGAAGCTAACGTCTAGCACTGTCACCATACTGTGCGAAGAGAACGCATAATTTTTCTTCTCTTTTCATCAATCTCATGAGCCCAATAACTCATCATTTACACAACTAGAGACACCGGTAACGATAACAACGCATTGAATATTAAAACAAAACAAACGCCTAAATCACTGAAATTCCAATAATGCATGCTTGATGTCATGCTGGCTTGTCCCCTAGGATGACAACCACGGCATTACCAAGCAACCTTCATGAATATTAAAGAAAATATGAGAAAATGGCCCGACTCCGAGGTAAGTCAACGTCGCAACTGTATGTTTCTTTGGGATAGCGTGTTCAAGGAGTAGGATCTAAACCCTTGGATGCTTTCGTTGAGCTTGCCAGTCGTCTAATCCTACCAAGAACGATCCCATACACTAGGTATGTAACACTATAAGCGTCCCGCATACAGGTATGCAAGACCGTGACAGCGTGACTTCTGGAGAGGTTGAATTTGGAGAAGATCCCATCATGATACATTTCCCCAACTGCCGTAGAAATGGGGGATCAGCTCTCTTTAGAGCCAATTCCCAATCGTGTCGGTTACTACATCTGGTTAGCACCGCGAGGTACGTACCTTCAATACAGCTTCACGTTTTGTCTACCTACCTAGGTAGGCCTTCGACAGAGAGGAGAATTCGGATATAAATATCACGCATCCTCGAGTTCATTTCTCCCAATTCTAATCATTAGCCAACCCGAGATCTACAAGAAAGAGTCAGTCAGCTTATTTCGCGAACAATCTTGCACCACATATCACTATATCATTGAGATCAATTGACGAGTATCAAATTCTCGCACCATACATCAAATTTACTATAAAATCCATCATGAGTTCCAACAGCAACCTCCTCTCCAGCGGCACCCGCGTGGTCGTCACGACCCACAACGAGGACGGAACATCCGTGTTCCACTCAGACCACGAGGTCGAGCCCTTCTCGCCCTTCGGACCGAGCGGAAGCTCCTTCGCTACGTTTGACGTGCGCTCCTCGGTGCCCGTGAATAACCAGGAGGAGCCCAAGGAGCTACCGAAGGGGCTGCCGCGCGTTCCACCAACGGGTGTCACATTCTGCGTCACGAACATGGCGCCGCGTCACAGCGCCCCCATGCACCGGACCGTCACCCTCGACTACGCCGTCGTGCTGTCCGGCGAGATCGTCCTCGGACTGGACAGTGGTGAGGAGAAGACAATCAAGGCGGGCGAGTTCGTCGTCCAGCAAGGGGTGAACCACACCTGGCACAATCGAACGGATGAGGTGTGTCGGGTTGCGTTCGTCATGGTGGGGGCGGAGAAGGTCAAGTTGGCGAATGGGCAGGAGCTAGAGAATACTCTCGGCCAGAAATAGTGTATTTATTATATTTCTACTAGATGATTTAGTGGTCTAAGTCATATGATACTTAGAGGTCCGAGATGCGACTTCATTCCAGTGTACTCCCGAATCCGTTCGAAGACCATTTGGCCGCTCTTCTTCTGCTCTATCGTCGTTGAGAACTTTCCCCCTTTTATGATCTTGATAGGCCAGAGTAGTAGGTATCCCCCTATACTCCGACACCGCGGAGAACCAGTCCCGTGGTCATGTAAACGGCCGAGGGGGTCAATGTCACCAAAGCTCTGAGACACGGTCGAGAGGACTTCGTCGGCGAGTAACTGTATTGTCTCGGTAAACTGCTCAACGAGGATGCGTAGGCTCTCTCTCGTTAAGTCATCCAGGCCAGAAGATTCCGTCGCTGTCTGTAGACAATTCAAAAGCTGCTGGTGGCCAATGATCCGCGCCGTGCGATGGTAGTTCCATTCGTAAGCCATCCATAGATCTGGGTGAAGTTGAATGGTACTGGTTGGGGGGCGTACCGAAGGGTCGAACTCAGGTAAGTCGGAGATATTCAGCGTCTTGAAAGACCATTCAGGTTTCTGCCGCCAACTGACTACTTCCTGGTCTAAATTAACCATCTCATGCACTATTTCGATAACTTCGGATGCTGATGACCTGCCACTAGCTACGGCCTCCTGCAAATGTCTGCCTCGTTCGCATGTCTCGTTGATCCGGAGAGCGTCCTTCTCCAGACGAACAGCAGAAATGCTGTCATCTAATTGATCAATCAAGTTTATGTAATCTTCGAGAGGTTTGAGGTTGAAAGCTAATTGTTGCTTTTGCTACAGCTTATAAGTATGCAATGGCAATGTAGTGAAGTGATAACCCACAATTCTATGGTGTGCGAGCCTGAACAAACTCCACCCACGCGGGCTATAGATCTGGTCCTCGCCTCTCAGTCTTAATATTTGCGCCATACCTTGGGCATGAGAACCTGCCATCGTGGAATCTTGTATGAAACACGTCTGGAAGTTTAGCATATACATGCGGTGGATACCGAACTGCGTTAGAAACATACCTCGAAGATATCCAACATAACTACAGTCATAAGATCATAATCATCGGGAACTTTACCTTGGGGTGATATTGATTCCCCCAGTGCGTTCAGCGACATTCCATAGCAATATAAAGCCTTCTTAGCTAGTGCATTGTTATTCTGAACTTTTGACAGATCAGCATAAGCAGCAGCCCGAACAGCCCAGCGTAGTGCAAATCGGCCTCCCACGTTCACATCTTGGAATAGAGATGGAAGATGCTCAAGGAAGCCAGGAGAGGATGTCTCAGCACATGGGTATATAACATATTTATCGATGAAGAGGTTGACTGCTTCATCTTCAGGGCTGGGTCGTAAGGGGATTGGGGTGGTCTTTTTTGCCCACGGAAGCCGATCTGATAACTTAAGACTCGCAATTTCTTCTTCTGTGAAGTCGGAAGGGTCGATGAATGTAGGTGATAATCGACTCCAGTCCGACTTGTTGCCAGTGGACCGGCTCCTTCGTCGCCCCTTCGAGAAAGTATCGGATGATGTGAATGATGTAGCTGCACTAGCATGCTCAATGACTTTATCGGTCTCATAACGAAATATAATTGTTGCTTCGTCACGATACCCCTCACATATCTCATTGCGGTTGACACAGCGCTGGCATGAAGGTCGTCCCTCGTCGCATTTTACCCGGCGCTGGCGACATCTCAAGCAACCGCGGCTAAGGCGTGACATGGATTTTAGGTCGAGCAGGTCCCCTAGCGAGCCAATCCTCGGAGTGAGCTGCCTCTAGCAAATGTTCGATTTGACAATATTGGATTCAATCTTGAGTTCTAAAGTGTTATCTGGAGAGGAGTGTTGAGCTTACGTGAGCGTCGACACTGTGAGTTGCGTTTCTGTCCCTTTCTCCTGGATTGGTACCTACCAATCAAAATATATCAAAATATATCAGGACCACTTTTATGCAGTTTAAGGGTTCCATTGTGGGCTAAAATATGTCGCTATTGGTTTCGCAATCTCACCCCCAATGAATCTGTTTCGCCAAACTCAGCGACAATAAAGCCTACTGGAATCCCCAGAGCTCCTATGTGTCTAAACTTAACGCTTCAAGGTGATCATTCAAGTATGAGCTATATACCCCCAGTTACTGCATCGCGCCTGACGGCGGGTAACGAAAGCCGGAGGTGTCCTCAACTCATGCAGGAGCACTCGAGGGAAACGAGGCTTCGATCTCGGGCTGATGCGGTGCACAATCCTACCCCGGTTTAGGTGAAGGAAACCTGCAATACGACCAAGTTTTCTTCAAGCCACCATGCACCTATCCTGTTATCATTCAAGGAGTTGACGGGCTTGATGATCTTGGGAAACCAGAAAATAGTCAACGGTGACCTGTTCCATTCGCAAATATAAACCTCAACCAGACATGCTATAAAATATGCCGGTCCTGCTATCTAGATCGACGGCATAGTACGGATCCGTATGGCTGGAAATTTTCATCAACGACAAGGTCACACAAGCCGCAGCGCCGAGCAACATGAACGCCACTATTAGCAACGAGCTCGACTCCAATTGCATCTATTCCTTCCGATTCGGGTGAAGGAAAGCCGCATATTATGATACTTTAACGATATGTATGACCACAATGGGCGTAAGCGACATTAGCACGCCGAAACTTTTGATCGGACGCACTGGTATCCCTGATGTGGAGGATCACACTCGCAGCTCAACGCCATTATTATCGTTGACGGATGGTTTGCATCTACCACCCCCCCTTACAGCTCACAGCCTCGCGCCCATATATCTCAGATGTCCCCAAGAAAGGTAAGCAGACATACATTAATATGCTCTTTAGATTGATGTCGAGAGCCGAGATCTCATGGAATTCAATGCCTTGCATGTCGATAACGTGGTGCGCTACGCGCAAGGCAATTCCGACGATATATTGGTAGAATCCAGACAGCAGCTGCCAACACTCATACACTCTAGCGATAACAGCTCTGAGGATATGCGTAATAGTTATGAAGATTCATCTTCAGGCACCGACGAGCCCAAACAAGATGTAATATCTCCAGACACGTCGTTTGAGGGGACAGAGACGACTTTTGACTTGTCCAGCAGTCCCATCAGCTGTGACGATAAGGTTGAGATCCCGGTTATCGACACAACCAGAGCACGAGGCAAATGTGTTTCAGACTACTGGGATAAACACAGGAGAGACGACCAAAGTCGCTATGTAAATGCCTGAAATTATTTTCCGCGTTTTCGGAAGCGGCTTTTTGATTCGCTGTATCAAAGCTCTGGCCAAATTCGGGTTTGCACCTACATAAGTTCACAGTAGAGCAAGTCCCAAACATAGATACCCATTATTGTCAAGTCCTTAAAGGTTTCTAAAAGCTGGCTCCCTTATGTTAGGTAATTACGCTTTACCCCTTATTTAAGTTAGTTAACCTAGGTAATCCAACAAACTGGCAGTGTGATGGTGAGGTCCTCGAGAGCTTGAATCTCGAAAAGGCGGCGCTTATAAAGAGTTCCCCATCTAGGTGACTCAAAGGCCAAAGT